CCAACTATTTAGAAAAAAAGTAAGTTTTCCAATAGGTACATTGGATGGATTGGGATGCAGTGAAGCTTGTCCAGAAATCAGTTGCAATGAATTACAACCAAAATATACTGCAAAACGTAAACAACAAGTAGTTGCTGACTTGCTGTCACATCAGAGTGGTCAGACTGCATTTTCACAAGTTCTGAATTTCTGATGACAGTTAAGTGAAGACAAATGTTAGTATTGCTGTACATTGTACAATTGTACTGTTTTTAGGGTAAAATTAGTTATTTGGGGTAATACGTGCATGTGACCTTGTAAATAAGTTTGTGGCTTGTAAATGGCTTTTCATTACCCGGCTTAAATGGCTTTTCATTAAAAATTACCTGGCGACAATTTTGAAAATGGTTGGCGACGCTTTTGGCTTGAAAACCCATATATTGGTAACGCTGCATGCACCCTCTGCACCCTGGGAGTAGACCAGCAAACTGAGCAAAGTATCATCACTATGTATCATGGATACCAAACTAGCATATCATACATAAGATATTGGTTTAAATCTTGATTCTTGACTAAATGAGGACATTAAAAATGAACTGATTCTGAAAAATCTCTGGTTTACCTCTATGTCCCTAACCCTAAGTTTCTTAGTTTCTTTACACTTTAAGCCACAACCAGAGCTTTGTTGCTTTGCTGCAGCTTTTGAAGCTGAGATTCCCACTAGATGAATGACCTCCTAGGATCCTAGGTACCTAATTGCAAACTGAAATATATAATTTCAGGTTCTAAAATTCTAAATGTATCAAAAATTTATCACTCTGGATTTTGAAAGTTTGGAGGACAGGAGGAGCAAGACTTTATTCATCAGAAGGAAGATTCCAATCCTGAATTCTTGTGTTCAGGATTCATGACCTTAAATTCAAATTCAGAAAGACTAAAGAGACTGATATTCTGGCACTAGTCTCTTAGAGAGATGACACTTATAGTCTGATCACTCTGATAGGACTGAAAAAGAAATTGCATAAAACAGCCTCTGCTTTATCACTAGTTGAGTGCAGGCATGGGATATATCTACTTGGCAAGCTGTAACTTAATTTTTCAAGTCGTGGTTTTATGGATTAGCCAGCCTTGATTTCATTTCTTTGAGCCGGGATTCCAATTTTTTTGAGCTGTGAATTCTATATCTCAGCCATGAAAGGCCATTTATGATGCTCAAATTTATTTACCAAGTCCATGCACATGTTGCCCCAAATCTGTAAAAGTATAAATTTACCCTAAAATAGTTGAACGGCAACAATAACATTTGTCTTTACTGTAAGCTGAACATGTGTTAATGCAGTCTAACAGCTTTGATGTGACCGCAACCATATATAAGCTGCAAACTTATTATTTACTAAGTCCCATGCATGTGTTACCCCACATCTCTAATTTTATCCTAAAAAGTCACTAACATTTGTCTTCACTTAAGCAGCAACTGAACAAGTGATACCAATAACCGGGCTATACTTGGGGCGGGCAGGGTAACTCGGGACAGTCCTCCGACATGGCGTAAAACTGTTTTAGTAGCTAAACTAATTGGAATATTGCAAAACTAAATATAGTGGCATAAACGTTAACATTTTTTCTATCTATGTAGTATAAAGGAAGTTCAAAAATACTACATTTACTAGCTTTGAAAAATTCATGAAAAAAATGGTGAAAAATGATATTTTAAAAAGTTACTTCTGCTAAGGTCTGAAGTAAAAAAAATATTTGCCATATTAAAAAATTTTGCTTGGAAAAAAGTGGCAGACAAGTGTCAGCATAAAAACTTTATTTGCAGAATTTACATACGTACCTCAATAAAAATAATATACGTTTAAAAATTACTTTTTAAAGACAACACTTCCAAAGAATCCAGTGTTTACAATCTTAAAGATGTACCATGAATTTCTCATTTAATTTTCAAATATTAAAAAAATTAATTTTTCAATTTTTTAATGTAGGTATAATTTTTTTAATACATAAATTTTTTTTCAAAATTATTTATTTTATTAATTGATTCATGCATTGCCTCTGACTTCACACAAGTGTGCAAAAATTCAAATCAATTAGACCGGTAAAAGTGTGTCAAATATCAGTTACTATAAGATTTGTAGCTGACAAAATTATTTTTTCAATTTTTTAATATTGAAAAATTTTTTTTTTTTACTCTTAAATAATATGCATTTAAAAATTGCTTTTTAAAGACAACACTTCTGAACAATCCAGTATCTTGGATGTTACACATGTACAATGAATTTCTAATTTCATTTTCAAATACTGAAAAAAATTATTCTTCAAATTTTTATAAGATATCAACATTTTGTAAATTTTAAAAATTATTTATTCTGTCAATTGATTCATGCATTGTCTCTGACTTTATGCAATTGTGCAAAATTTCAGATCAATTGGACAGGTCAAATTGTGTCATATATGGATTATAAGATTTGTAGGAGATGAAATTATTTTTTAAATTTTTTTTTAATATTGAAATTTTTTTTATTTATTTATAAAATTATTTATTCTGTCAATTGATTCATGCATTGTCTCCAACTTTACGCAAGTGTGCCAAATTTCAAATCGATTGGACAGGTAGAAGTGTGTTAAATATTGATTATAAGATTTGTAGCAGACAGACAGACAGACAGACAGACAAACAAGAAGTGAAATTAAAGAGAAGTGTTGTAAAATCATTTATTTTGACATCTAATTCATGCATTGTCTCCAACTTTAAACAAGTAGGCAAAATTTCAGATCGATAGGATAAGTAGAAGTGTGTTAAATTTTGATTACAAGATTTGTAGCAGACAGACAGACAGACAAACAAGAAGTGAAGTTAAAGAGAAGTGTTATAATAATATACGTTTAAAAATTACTTTTTAAATACAACACTTCCAAAGAATCCAGTGTCTCCAATCTTACAAATTTACAATGAATTTTTCATTTAATTTTCAAATTAAAAAATTAGTTTTTCAATTTTTTTAATGCATAAATTTTTTAATATATAATTTTTTTCAAAATTATTCTATTAATTGATTCATGCATTGCCTCTGACTTCACACAAGTGTGCAAAATTTCAGATCAATCAGACAGGTAAAAGTGTGTCAGACATCAGTTATAAGATTTGAAGCTATCAAAATTATTTTTTCAATTTTTTTTAATATTAAAAAAATTTTTTTTTTAATTTTTAAAATCTTTTATTTTGACATTTGACTCATGCATTGTCTCCAACTTTACACAAGTGTGCAAAATTTCAGATCGATAGGATAAGTAGAAGAGTATTAAATTTCGATTACAAAATTTGTAGCAGACAGACAGACAGACCAACAAGAAGTGAAGTTAAAGAGAAGTGTTGTAATAATATATGTTTAAAAATTACTTTTTAAAGACAACACTTCTAAAGATTCCAGTATCTTCAATCTTACAGATGTACAATGAATTTCTCATCTAATTTTCAAAAATTAAAAAAATTACCTTTTCAATTTTTTAAATACCGTTATACATAATTTTTTTAATATATAATTTTTTTCTCAAAATTATTTATTCTGTTAATTGATTCGTGCATTGCCTCTGATTTCACACCAGTGTGCAAAATTTCAGCTCAATTAGACAGGTAAAAGTGTGTAAAATATCAGTTATAAGATTTGTAGGAGACAAAATTATTTTTTCAATTTTTTTAATATTGAAAAAAAAATTAATTTCTAAAATCATTTATTTTGACATTTGATTCATGCATTGTCTCCAACTTTAAATCTTTATTAATCTTTAAATTCATGCAAAATTTTAGATCGATATGATGAGTAGAAGTGTACCGTATTAAATTTTGATTACAAGATTTGTAGCAGACAGACAGACAGACAGACAGACAGACAAACAAGAAGTGAAGTTAAAGAGAAGTGTTATAAAAATGGCAGCCATTTCCGCACGGCGGGGCTACTCGGGACACCCCCCTGGGGCTATTCGGGACACCCCCCTGGGGCTATTCAGGACACCCCCCTGGGGCTATTCAGGACAACCCCCTGGGCTATTCGGGACACCCCCAAACACGCATTTACAGTAGAACCTCAGTTAGCAAAGGCTCCAGTTGAGAAAAAAATTAATTAAAATGAAAGAATATTGATTACATTTACCTCACTCAGCAAAAAAATTTCACTTATCAAAAAATTAGTGCATCATCGGTCATCACAAAAGTGTGCAGAGAATGTCATATATAGAATTGTGCACCAGGCATCATAGAATGAAAAGTATATAATGCAAATGTCACAATGTAAACACTCAAAAGCAAAGAAACACTCAATAATTGTAATAGCAACCAAAGAGTTACCAAGATCATAAGCCAAATGGGGTGCAGTTTAGTTAAAAGCATGACAATGGGTAGGACAGGAAATTAATGCATCATATCACCAGTTCACTGCAACTCATCCTTAAGGAGCATTGAAGTTGCTTAGCAAACAAGAGTATGTGGAAGAACCAGAGTACTGGCAGTTTGGCAAGCAGGATTGGGTTAACAATCACTTCAAGGTAAATTGGAATTCAGGCAGTGGATGCAGACATTGATAGACAATCAGGTGCAGATAGGCATAAATTCAAGCATGACCATGCTGGTGCATGTTAAAGGTAGACTCTTTTCACTGGCAATATTAGACACATGTATTGGTAAAGCCAATAACAAATATATATGTCTGAAACAAACACAGAAGAAACACACACATTATTGATAACAAAACAAAATTTAAACCACTCCTTCTAAGGGAGAAAACCAGATGATATTAGGAGGCATGGCCTAGAAGTAAGACAATACACTATGATACAATACAGCTAATGCTCTGTGGCCCTCTTCAAAATTTTTTTCATTTTATATCAAACATTGCTTTCTGTGTGAAGCACATGGAAATTGCTTTGATTGGCAGACTATTTTTATTATTGTGATTGGTAATCACGAACTGAATTTGTTTGAAAATGTTTCATATATGTTTATCTTTCCTGTACTGTTAGAGTGTATATATAAAGTCAGTTATAAATTATACGACATTAACTATGCAGCCCAATAGTAGTAATTTGCTGCTCAATTAGCAAAATTGGCTTTGAAAAGTAAAATTAAATGAAAGTGTGTTTCCAGGGTCCTTTAAACATCACTTGTATAAATGTAACTGTAAACTGGGGATCTGAGAAGCTGACTGACTTTACAAGATGTTTTCAAGGCTTGAATTGGCTTTGCAGGCAGCTGTTGATGTGGTAAGTTTTTGATTCAGAAGTATCAATTTGGCAAGACAATGTTTTTTATTCACTCTGTGTATTGAAATACATATTAATACATAATTTCATATTTCGGTATATATGAAAATTTTGAGTTTTTTTGTGTTGCTAAAATATTTACATGGGCTTGAAATGCTGAGTTCATAATTTTTTAGCTTCTGTTTTGCTGATAAATTTGGCGTTAACCACCAGATTAATAAATATTATTAGCAAGTCCTAGTTCTTGGATTATTGGTCTGCATTCAATTCATGTTTATCATGTCTTATTTTACAGATTGCACCTCCATGTGCAAGAGTGGAAGACTTGAGGTACCACTGGAGTCAAGTTGAGGGAGCGTGTCGCAGACATCAAGGTCCAAATGTCTTCACTGATTTAGATGAGCTATCATACACAGACAACAGTAGATCACTTGCTGAACATTCAGCAGATGAGCTGCAAGGTACAACTTTCAAATGTTCATAAAACTTCCCACAATAAGCTGCATGAAAATTTCTGGCAGCATATTTTGCTATTTTTCCTTTTATTTTTAAATTAGGTACAGGTTCTTATGTTTTTAAAGTCACCACCAACACTTGACTTCTGTCAGATTTGGCATTGTATATATACAAATATAATTTACATATGAAATTTATAAACTAATGTTATGCATATAATAGGCACCATTGCGCTGCTTTCCACTCCCCTTTTCAATTGCAGAGGCAATCAGTGCTGTGCAACAGACTGGCTGTAATCCTGGTGTGTGTAATGGAGGAGTATCTGAACCACATAACATACCAATCTCTGCTGCTCATGTTCCTGCTGTTGAGGAGACTCATGCTCCCAAGCATCTTTCCAACATACTTAGAGTGAGTCCAATTGATCTGCTTTGCTTCAAAGTAAATTATTCATCAGCATGCATGAAATGTCTTGCCCACTTGACACAGTAGCCAACTATCTCAACGTCTACTATTCTGCAGATATTCATTTTGAGTTGCTCTCAAAAATTTACTTATTTAATATTGTTGGTGCAATCAGTGAGGGAATTTTCGACCAGATAGTTGCATGACCTTGCTTATTGAGTTGATGCTGCTGTTAGTTAACCTAAATGAGAGAACCCAGCCTTCTCAAAAGGTTTCATTTATTACATAATAATTTATCTTTTCGTGTGTTTCTCTTCTCTGCCTGTTGTCTCAAGTACATTTCCTGCAGATTCTGGTGAACGAGAAGCAAGACAGTGGAGGATCGCTCAGCCCTTGCCTGGAGTTTCTTGTAACAAATAAAGTTCTACGATCATTGGCTGCGTTTGCATGGACTGACCGGCCGCTGGGCATCAGGCAGCATGCCTATGTCTTCATGAGTGGCATATTACAGCATCTGCATCATACACTACTGCACCATACCTGCATACACAGACCTCTTCAGGTTAAGAAAATATCATAATAACATCAATATGAATGTGGTATTCATTAACAGAAAACGGTTTTGTTAAAGAAAATTAGACATTGCAATTTAAATGTTTCTAAGCTACATGCACAATCAAATAAAAAACAACGAGTTAAATTTCCTGGAAACGAGAGCAATTAATAGAAGTTTATTAACTTCATATCTGCCTTTAAATGCATCTTCGACATCCTGAGTCTCTGAAAGAGAGACTAAAAAGTCTATGTCTGAAAAGAAATTTTTTTTATCCATTGTATGCATAACTATTTTAAAATATAAATATTTGTGTGATCTCGGCTTCATCCATTTTTAACAAGCAATATTAAATGATTAGTAAAATAATACAAAATGCAGAGAAGGAACTTTATTAATTCCATTTTATTCGTGGAACAATTTTACCTTAGGATCATTAGACAATAGCCAAGTGATGACTTGCATTAAAAAAAACTAATTGACTTTCATGTGATGTTCACTTGCATGTTTACAGAGGATGGTGCTTGCAAGCTGTTACATGACTGCGTCCCCATATGAGGCTGAGGAAATGGAATTCTTGGCTCTACTTTGTGAGAAAATAAGACAAGACAACAGCCTTGTGCTTCTCTACATACAGGTTAGCTGTATATGTTTGCTGATGCTATTCCAGAGTGAACTAACAAATGAAAATGTCGTTCATAAAGAAACATCTTTTGCACGGCTATGGATTCAATTAATCGCCTCAACAATTTAAGAAATATACTTTGACTTGTTATTCTGTATCGTACTGGTCGTTTTAAAAAAGTAGTTTCTTTTAATGCCAATTTTTATGATGATTTATAGAGAAGGGCAACAGAATGAAGTTTAAGTTTGCGGTATATACTCTACACTGGATGAGAAGGAGTATTTTTTTTCCTTTATTGATGCTTATGCTTGTTCTTCCTATGGCTAAAAGGATAAAATTAAGACTTTAGGAAGCATATTTTAGTTTAAGTCTGGTATACATCATGCTTGTTGGTGGTACTTTGTAATACTAAATTCATTTACATAACTCAAGATAATCACATTTATTTTGTAATATATTCAATTTATTCATGTCATTGATGTTGGTTTTCCATCTGAATATTTCTATGATTGCGTAATATGTCCAACGGCCTTTATTGCTTTTATGTAGTGGTAATTAAAAATACATATTAAATCGAGACTGTGAGTACTACTTTTTAATACATACCATTTTACTTGATAAAATTAATTACTCAACTTCACAACTGCTAAGCGTTTGTATAGGTACTTATGCTGTAACTATAACTTATTGTTTCTGTCCTCAATAGCCTCCTCCCCCCAAGAAGGAGTTCGCTCAAACATCCTCGCGGTCGTCGCCTGTTCGGACCCCCTCCACTATTGCTGACTTGTCTACACCATCTTCCTCAGCTGCTACCTCCAGCCAGTCGTCTGAAAAAAATATCGTTGACCAAGATTTGCCTCTCAGAAATATGACTGCTGTCCCTAAAGAAAGTTCTGATACGTGCCCAATTTCTACTCCTGAAATTTCATCAACATCTGATACTTCAATCTTATCTAACGCTGGCGCGCTAAAGCTTTTGCCTGTTGATAATCATAGTGGGCCTGGAAAGGGAACGCTCACAACCGGTAGTAATTCAAGTATTAATCGTAACACTGTACTCGAAACGAACCCTTGCGAGACAGCTGGCGCCGTTAACGTGGCTGTCACCGAGGAAGAAAGGCTTTGTCTTGCTGATGGCGCAACGAAAAGCTGCGAATCAGCAAACCTGCGTGTAAATTCTGACTGTGAGGCGACCAGCAGTTGTCTCACTGATAACCTCCCAAAAGACTACGAGTCATTGAACAGTCGTGTTAGTGCTGAGTGTGAGTCAGTGAGCAGTCGGAGATCATCTCTGTCCTCGTACTCCGTGGTATCAGGTTGCAGTAGCGCCTGGACGTCCTGCAGCACCGGTCGCATCTCTAGCTTTCCGTTGATAGACGCATTACTAAACCTCTGCTGGTCGACGGCCAACTCGAGCATCAGTGCTGCAGCTCACGAGTGTTTGCTTCAGCTGTGCAGTGTGAGAGAAGTTTCGTGTTGTAAGATTCTTGCCCACCATTCACTCCTGCCAGACTACATAGCCTCCAGACTTGCCGCCGCGCTCGCGCTAGTGCCGCGGGACTTGGACCCAATACTGCTGGAGGATTTCAGCCTGCCGCACGAACGACACATCGCTGCCCCTGACAGCGACGAGTCAGACGCCAACTCTGACGAGGACAACTTTCCTGGCAAGAGAGAACTTTCCAACGTTTTTCATTGGCTAGCCTTTCTAGACAAGGTGGGTCAGTAAATACATGCACTTTATTTTCGACCAACTTTCAACTCTCTTTCAAGCTCAAATATTCTCCAACTTAAAAGCAGAACTTATTTTATACTTATGTCAGGCAATAAGGTGTAGAGAATCTACACATAAAGTTTCGCATTTATTCTTCATGTTTGAACATTTGCACTGAACGATATAAATTTGTATAGTACCAAATCTGCAGATTCAATGCTGAAATTGTTGAGCAGGTTGGCCTTAATTCATTTCAACAGCTGAGAAAATGTGTGAAAAAGACCGCCAATCTTTTTCAAAATGATTGAACTCGCAAATTATTGAACTAACAAGAACGAGGCTCATGCTTTAGAATAAGTATTCGTGATTAAAGTTAGTTATTCCAAGGAACTATTTATTGCTCAGTAAATTATGAGTCATGTGGCGAATGTAGGCGACATTCCTCGTTGCTAGACTAATGTTCATTGGTTCGCTATCTCACCATAAACTTAGTTTTTATGCTGCTTCATTATGAACGACACAAAGTGCATGTGAATTATTTCTTACAAAAAAAGTTAACGTTTTATATTTCAACAAAAAGTTCGGTGCATATTCACGTTTTATTTTCAGTATTTATAAACATATAATACTCCCGTTCATACTGTAGTCAGCGATGGACGATATCTGTACACGTTTGAGCAAATAAGTGACCCATTTTATATCTCTCTGTTCCACCTCACTCTGTTCAATACTTTAGTCTCCCTAAAATAAACCATGCACATGGACGCGCAGGCCGTGGTGAGCGGGGAGCGCGAGCTACGCAACAGCCTGTGCGCATGCGTGACGCAGTGCGCGCTGGAAAGGGAGGTCACCCCCCGCCTGTCTAGCTCGCACCCTGAGAAGCGACGCTCCGCCCTGGCGCTCGTCACGAGGCTGCTGCAGGCGGCGTCGTCGCACGCCCTCGTCATGTGCCTCGTATGCTGGCTCTGTGACCCACAGTCCGTGTTACCCCTGCTGCTGCAGCAGTGCCTCGAGCCTCCACATCAGGTGACGATAATATTCATACAGTTACTGACGTGCTTGTCTATATTTCACCCTTCGTTATGCTGCTGATATGCCTGCTCCGTCCCACCTGGCTCCTTCGGAATGCTGGTCACTATATAATGAGAGTCATTATTTGTGGTCGCGGATTTTTTACGTTTATGTTTAATGAGTAAACTTAACACTAAGAGTTTATACTCGCTTGAATTGTGTCGAAGTCCGCAAATATGATAGAAAGCCTTAAATTCTTATTGGCCATGTTTGGCTTGTCAACGCTTCTAGAAATCGCATGATTTTCACATGCAGCTAGCTGTGTTTCGAACCCACATTTCACTGCACCAATCTTAAGGTTCTTAACCACTCCGCCCTTGCCTATTTTTACAAGAATCTTTACTGCTTTAGTGAGGCTTGCACCGGCATCTCATTGCTCCAACTTTGGTGAATTTTACCACGCAAGCACAACGCATAGCATACGGCTTATGCTTATATGCTTATATTTTTATGATATTATCATGCTTATATGCTTATAATATCATGCTTTTATTATCAGTATCCGTGCCGCGCATTGCATCGCAGGTGCAGACGCTGCGTCTGCTGCAGACGGCAGTACAGCGCAGTCGTGGCGGCGCAGCATCAGTGCTGCTGAGCGAGTGGCTGCTGCGCCGCCGGTACGTAGACCCTGACCGCGCCCAGGAGCTGCAGCAGTGCTGGAGTGATGAGGAGGATGAACGCGCGCGTCACCACAGCAGCGCCTCCCTCAGCAGCACCTTCGCGCCGTCCAACATCAACAAGTCGGTGGCTCAGTCTCGCCTGTGTAGTCTGAATTAATTCACTATCGAGTGTAATATAAATCTTGCGAGCGCAGGAAGAAATATTTCTTAAGTTATGAAAATGCTTTATGGCTGTGAATCGTGATTACTTTGGAAAGATTCCAGAATTAGTGAATGATAGATACTACATTTATTTTTGTAATAATAGAAAATAGATCTTTCTCTTTTACACAGTTGAGATATATTTAGCTACAATAATAAATTCTCATGCAATCTCTCACGCACATTTAACACGTTGACTCCGAAGTGGTACATATGCGTACCACGAAATGTATTTCTCCAGGACGAAGTGGTGTATAATTCAGGTTGCCTAAAATCGGCCAAATCCGAGAACAAAAAAGGCCGATAACTCGATATATACTAGTTTATTTGTAGGTTCGCCTATAAAAATTTCAATTTTTTTTTGCAGTATTCAAAATTTAATTAGGAAGTACCTCTATCGTAAGGTTTATCCGGCCAACGCAATTGAGAAAAAACTAAATTACGGAATTTGTCCGGAAAAAATGACCGTCTGGCAACCCTGTTTAAAAACAGTACAAAAAAAAGAAAAAATAGTACAAGATGAAGCAATCGGAGTCAACGTGTTAACGCAATGCCAATGATACTCGGTACACCGTAGAAACCAATTTATTATGCATTATTCACTGGTTTATTCCCAGGATTGTTCAGCAATTCCTGTCGTTGGTCCCTGAGGAACTTCGCTCTGGTGGTGCCGACGACTTCGCCAGCTATTGTTCGGATGCGACGCGGCAGTGCCGGGACAGTGCCAGGGCCGCGGCACTGCACTCCTGGGGGCGGGAGGCAGGAGTGCTCACGCCTGGTCTGTGTCTCGTTTGATATAACAAACGTGGCATGAAGTTTACCGTGTCTTGATTTTAGTCGACCAAATTTCATATAATTTTAGCGTGACCACGCGATGCCCTAATTGTGGAAATTAACGATAAGCTTGTGCGCATTTGTCACTTTTTTAAACTTTTCTCCACCAAAGTTACTTTATGTAAATCTTAGGTTCCTCAAGAACAAATTGATAGTGAGCATCATTAGAAGTAAAACAAAATTTAGAATAATTCATGGATACGCAGCAATCCTTCACTGAATTATATTTGTTGAGGCTTGCCGTAGCACAACTGGTTCCGATTTTTAGTTTTCTGTATCCTTATTTTAACTTTATTTACATTTGGAAGCGTACTTAATCACCATCCTTATCGCTGCTCTATATTTTAACTGCAATATTACCTTCTGATAAAATGATATTATTACCAGAATTACTAGACATTAATAAATTTCGTGTTGCACGGTCAGATGCAGCAGTAGATGGTCCTCACAGCCCCACCACGGGGCCTGGGCCATTCTTGGACACCCTCCTTGACCTGCTCCAGCGCCTCCCCGAGCAAGTGAGTCTTCCTTGCCCACATTTCCCTTGGTTATTAACTACCAAATGATCTAACCGAACTAGAACTGTTAACGGGGTTGTCCAATCTACTTGGTTGAGTTTGGTGACAGTAAACATTGGATGCATTTTTAGGAATGTGTCAGATTGTCAGTAAGCTTTTTTGGCAACATGTATATCGTCATGTTTCATCAGGTCCTCCGACGAGCAAATATTTTTGGAATGTATACATAGCTCGTTTATTACAATCATATCTAGGCTACAACTCTTTGTAAGCACTGGCTTGTGAAAAAATGTCGTTCCCAAGAAATGTTAATTCAGATTTACTTGCTGCACTAGGTTCGCCTGTAACGCGGCTTTACCAGACGGGTTAGCCTGCTAATTATCGCGTATATACAAGCTCCATAGAAATTCGTTTGGCCTTTTTTAAAAGTTAGGTTTCATGAAATTTTTTCATTCAAATATTGAGCTTTAACTTTGAATAATCGCTTTAATTGAAGTGAATCATTCTCAATTAAAGAACTTTCTGTGGTAATACCTTTCTGCTCTTCAATACACGTACCCGAACTTCTCAATCTTGCTTGAGTGCTTAGAGCTGCAGCGCACTATCATTCATTGTCTTGTACAGTCGCTAAAGTAACAACTTACGAAAAAAAGTAGTATTTTTGTACGGTTCTTCCTCACGTAGGTTCTTCCTGATATCCACAAGAGGCTGGATCACGCTCATATATCAAATATTTATAGAAGTAAACAGTATTCATACACTTGATAAACGGGCCAGAAAGAATCGCCGAAGACTTGAGACTTCAGAGGATAAGGTTAGATCGAACCTTAACAACATATATAAAATACATCAGTTAGTAGTTAGCTCCGGTCCGCGTTTCCAAATAATTCTATCGCTTTCGGTATATCCGCTATTTTTTCTATTCCCGACAAATTCCTTTCAGGACTACGACGTCAACCTGCAAGTAACGTCGCTGGTGGCCAGCCTGGCGCAGCTGCCGCACCCGCAGCTGCACGAGTTCCTGCTGAACCCGACGGTTCCCTTGGCTGCGGGCGCGCGCACGACGTACTCCGTGCTGCACGACGTGTCCCAGGCGCTGGCCTCCAGCCTCGCGCGCACGCCGCGGTGTCAGCACCACCTGCAGGTCGCGCGACATCAGCTCCTAGGCTCCACTGACTCATGGCATCTGCTGTGAGTTACACCTGATACTGACGTGTTAACCAGTGTCGTCTTACAATATATAAATCAGTCCAGCACTGTATAAATCAGTGTAATATGTGAACCAGTTCTGTCTGATGTGCGAACCAGTGCCCCTTGATTTGTGAACCAGGTTCGTCTAAATGTCAACCCTTGCTGTTTGGTATGCATTGCATCGCCTTTATTTGTCAGGATGTGTGACTTTCATCAGTAGCGACATCATTTTCTAATGACTTTCCTCATGACTTGTGGGGGTCTAAGCTACCCCTTATATGCACTAGACTAGAGTAATCGATAGCAGCCAAGTGTAAGATATCCTCACAGTTGTATATTTGCAGCCGCGATGACGAGATGCGGCGGTTCGAAGCAGTGATCGTGCTGGAGGAGTTCTGCAAGGAGCTCGCCGCCATAGCCTACGCCAAGTACACTTTGGAGCGCGGCCGCTGAGCCTCCACTTCTCTTGGCTAGCTTCATCGAGAATTTTTCGCGTCAGTGGATGAATTTAGACTTCTGTAGTGAGTTAAAATTATATGGCAAATTACTTCTGCAAATACGTTTTGCTCTACGTGTCGACGTGTGGCATCTCGTGTTCTCCGTAACAGCGTTCAAAACGTGGAACTCGAAGCTGAAATATGAAAAAGATATACCGGTACTCATCGAGGGAACAATGATGAAAAACTTGATTTTATCGACCATTGTGTCAGTCACACTCGGCCTTGTGGAATAATAATCGTATAATTGGTGACCCCTTGGAATTTTTTATGATCCAAAACCGGGATCATCTGTGACTCTCAGATTTTCTCTTTAATAAGATCTCAATTAAGACGGTTCAACAAGATCACAGTGAGAAGAATTCAGCAGCTTTGGTTAAACGCTCCGCGAATCTCGCGGATTTGCTAAAGTAGCAGTTTTGGTGAATACAATGGCTTCTGTTGAAGTCTATGCGGTGCAATGAAGTATTTTAGTGACAGTAATATATAAATTCACTCAGTTTATTTAATCGTATCTATGTGCTGCATTTCTCTGCTTTCATTGCGAGACCGAAAAATTTTCCGCCAGGCAAAGAGATGGTACAATTCGCCAGCACAAAAAAATTTCTAACTTAACACGAGTGCTGCGTTATATGAACTGTGTGTAAGTTAACTTTACACATTAAATATATGCACATTGAATTTCTGATGCGACGAATAATTATATTCATTCAAGTATCTTGCATGTTCGCTTCATAAATGTTCAGCTATCTTTTACTTATTCTAAATTTTTTGATTTTCACGAGTTGAGTTCGCTAGATAAGAAAATTAATGATTCAAATTAGTATTCAAGCAGCTTCACCTGGTCATTTGCTGTTCACTTTTCTAATTAGTGCAGGATCTGATCACAGACATCCTGAACTGCACTTCAGTGCATCATATTCTTAAGAGTTTTTTTTAAATAAATTTTCAGGCATTTTCGTAATAAATTAATGACGTAAATCAAAATTTGTAACCATATTTTTTAGATTAGTAATTTGTTAATTTTACTATGCCTCGACATTAATTTTTAAATTTATTGCATATAAGGGAAAAGGACGATGATCTTACTGTTGTGATTAGCTGATTATTCAAGAAAATATAGTAATACCGAAATAATGTTGTTGCATATTGTATTGGACTGGACGCATGCGATGCAGTCATGCAGCTCGTCTATATAATAGATCTAGTGCATAAATATTACTAGCCCTGAGTTGTTCTTGTGTTGTTTGTTCCTTGCGTTTCTTTTAAAGATTTCAAATTATAGATTCAAATTATTCACATGATATATTTTTACTTTATTCACGAGTATGTAGTTATTGTGTTGATTTTGTTATAGTTATTATTTTTTATATGGAATATTTAATCGAATTCTATGATCGAATTGTGCTTTATATCTAAAATTATAAGAATGCAAAAAGTTTATTTGATTTGTTTTGAGTGCTTGCTTTAATACTCACAATAAATTTTATATTATTATTAAGATTCATTATTAAAGCGTAACAAGGATCGACAATTAATTGTGATGTATTCAAGAGTTTCCATCCTCCGTGCAATGGCTATGCAATGTCGGGAGCAGCAGATGATCGGAGGAATTTATAGACTTTTTAAGGAAATTTAGTTTTCAAATATAATTTGTTTTATATATTATTAATACAGTTTCCATAAGTATTATTTTCATGTTAAGTCTAATTTTTAGTATATTTCTTCTACGGAGTAAGAGTACAAAATTCATTGAAATGTTCGAGCCTGATAATTTTGTTCTTTAATAGAGAACAAAGTTTTAGTTTTTGTTATCATTAAGATTACATCTTAATAATAATAATAGCGGTTTCAGCGTTTATTAGGCCGTAGGCCTGTCGCCGATTCTTAACATCGCAGAACATTCACAGCATTTTGCGGTCTCGAACTAGCAACTCACTGCTACAATTCTGCTGTGCTTAACCGCCCGGCCTCCTTGCCGATTCTGACCAGAAACTGGCGCACAGAGCTGGGATCGAACCCGCGCCTCTCTGCGCCAATCTTGGTACTCTGAACTGTAACCACTGGGCCACCCTGAACCACTGAGACTCTGCCCTGATCTGCGCTCAGTACTCTGCTCTGACCTGGGCACAATACTCGGGCATGCCTGGCCCCGAGCTGGGATGTTCTTCGTAGATATTTTGTTTCAAAATGTATATTACTGATCTAGCGCTGTATGCCAGGCTCCTCTCAAGTCAATACTGAGATGAACTTAGCTAAATTTTTTAGTTTTATCCCAACTCGTCGAAACGTAATCGACTTGGATGAAGAACTTGATTCAACACGCGTTAGTTATGCGTGAAACTTATGTCTAAATTCATATCTTTCTGGGCATCTTTTTATTACAGCGAGTAGGCTAGAATCAGAATATGTGCAAGATTTTCGTTTGTAATGGTAAATGCTCGCAATTCGAAGAGTTATATTCAGAAGAAATACTCGACTTTTTCGCGTATACTTAGCCTCGTATTCAACGAAAAGTCTTATGTTTGAACCGAAGCCATTTTTTTCTCGCTTCTTTTGTGCAATTATTATCCTAGTCATTAGGGCTTCAATCCTGCTTGTTTTTTTAGGAGTTTGTATAGATTACTTTTAAAGTGGTATTGGTTAGTGTATCAAGGCGATTTTTGGGGGGGGGGTTTGTTTGTTTGTTCTGTAGATCGATTTTATCTAACGTTCATCATCGAAAATCTGAGTAACTTTGAGTGTTTTCAGTCACTCAAAACCTTCGACCATAATTTATTTGGCTAGTTTTAAAGTTTGACTTTTTAACTGTTCAGAGAGGCTGAAAACGGTCGAGATATCTTTAATTTATGATGGCATCTCCGACGACGTTAATCCAACTTTCTTTATGAATGTACATGTTATTTTTCAATTGCACTTCTTGCTTATCATAATCGAGTTGGGCATTCCAAGAGCCACGTTTCAAATTAAGAGTCGCTTTCATTAGGCAGCATTATCGTATTTTGGTAAACACTTCCCTACGTTGTGTTCATATTTTTACTGTTGTTTCTTTTTGCAGCTTAATAATTGAGGTTCGTAAAGCTACATATCGTTCTTGCGGTTACCTCCTTGAGTCGTTACACAAACAGTCTTTCTGAAATCAAATATAAAATTATTTGATACTCGATCTTTTAATTGCATGTGATTCTTTCGTAATATTTTCCTCGACGTAGGGTCCATTCATTTGCTTGCTGCTCTGAAATGAATAGCATGTCGTCGCTGAAAAAAATGAATGACAACTGCTTTAAACGTAACTATGAATAACTATCGCTTTCTCATTGTAAAGCAGAGGTGCTGAATAGTAGTCTTCATAAATTATATTTCTGATGTAGACGAGATCCGTTCCAAGATGATTTTTATAAGAAATAGTTATAAACAACATTTATTAAACATTCGTCGGTAGCTGTGAAATGAATGAGCCGCTTCATGGCAAAATCTGCACAACAATACTACATGATAATAATTGAATAAATTAACACAAATTCAAATTGTGCACTAAAACTTCTACTCATTAAAGCATTTGAGTAAAGCCGATAACAGCCGCCTTGTAATTATAACATAGCGAGTAGGTAGAGAGAACGGCAATATAACTCAGTGGAATGAAACCTACCTGTCCAGCAACCAACCAGCATCGCTCAATCAAGCCCATGAAATTAATATTAACGCCTCAAGAAATCTTTACAGCTCGGTTCTATTTGTGCTTATTACACTACCGTGCCTGCCTGAACAGGCGTTTAACGACCAAGAGATCCAATGCATGGATGCATGCAAATGAAATTTGTTAGTGAAACCGGAACTTTTCATACAGTTTCTGGATTATAAACCGATATTGCGTTATCTTGTTATACGTAATCTTATCTTCTCCCGGTTGGAAAAAATGAGTGCCAACAAAAAATAAAATGAACTTCACACAGCACTATCAGAATTTCTAATAATTCTAACACGACATTACGTTCAGCTCGTAATGTTATTAACTCGTAACTTGTATTTCGCTGATCAGCTGATTTGCATCGACAGCCGGAAATGACACCGATGACGAAGTGTCAAGCTCGAGATTAATGCTCGAGTTCTTAACAACTATTGATAGGTCACAGCACATTAATACGAAGACTATAAGAACGTTTAGAGTGCAGCAGAAATGTTCTACACAGCAATGTCACAGAGACTGGACAATAACGAGCGACTTTTATCAGTTGCGCGGCAATACTGCAATAGTTAGGGCATCTTGTGAATCAATACTGAGTAATTTGTTTATATTTACCAACAAATACAAGTATAATTTTGTCATCCCAATTTACTGTAGGTATCAATCCAGTTGTAAGAAGCTTAATTGTGTTCCACCAGAACATCATTACGATTCAGTACCAAGAGATTCTGTACGAAAGGTTTTACTGAAACGCAAAAAAAATCTCGGCATCCCTAACACCATGTCGACATCTCGCCATTTCTTAGAATATGGTCCAGTTAATGAACAGACGCAGTGTCCAAGTCTCGGTTCTTTTATAATTACCATGTATTTATAGGCATTAATACGGCACTGCCAGGCACAGGCTCAACTGATCCCGAGTGTCTTAAGTAGTAACATTGAATACATTCAATTCTCTGGATATATTGACTAGACGGCACTATATTAAATATCCACTTAAATCTAAACCGCATTATAAATAATTGAAAATAAAATTTGGAATATCTTGCAGTCTTGCACTAAATCAAAGCTGCATGCCCTATGGTCCTAGTGAATCACGTACATCATAGATTTCATTTGTTATTCATCACGACTTAAGACTACCTCAGTTCAGGACTTTTAGATTGCATGCCAAAAATTTAGTGAAGAACAATGAACTAAATTAACACCATACCGAACATCAGATGAACGGTATTAAATAACAGAAGTACAGCCAAAAAGAAAATTCAGACCTAAAGACTAGACCAGCTTCGTGCCCAGAGCTTGGTTGACAAAGGCGAGCTCATTTTGGAGCCGATATTTTATAACAAGCGTAATGATCAAAAATAATTAGTCGATATGTTCTCATGACGAAGGTGCATTTACACATAATTCGTAGAAATATGGAGATGAAATAATTCTTGTAAAGCAAATACTTATCAATAAAAACAGCTTTACGGAGCCATTTTCCTTGATAGACGCAAAATTATAGAAGACAACACATTTGGGCTTCCTAAAATTAAGGTACTACAAGATTCAAGTTTCAAATCTTATCACAGCTTAACGCTCACGACGTAATACTCACGTTGATCCGACTTGTGATATTTTACGAAATTACACTTTTACCATGTCTTTAATTTAACAACAGAACATCTAACGGAATTACAGGCGCTAAAAGAGTAACCACTTTTTCTGAATATTCCATTTACAAGACACAACTTAACGGATTCTTAATAAAAAGGAAATAGCAACTCCACTAACAACTATATCATAAAATTTCATTAGAATAAAATCCAAGTAACCAGATTTGTAACAACCACATTAGTCATCTTTGGTCCATCAAAAATCAATTGAGCAAATAGCTATAATGAAAAAAATGGATTTCTCTGCAGTTAATATTACTTATCACAAATACCAAATTACCTTATAGAACTAAAGTATTTTCTGCAGATAAAACCATTTTCTTTAAAAAATATTTTCAAAACTGTTTCCTTTAAAGAACATAGCTCTGTTCTCAACCCCGCTTTGAACTGAAGCTTAAATGAAGGCTTCCATATTGCAAAAGCGCGATCATTTGTCTCAGCAAGTGCAGATATTGCACATGATATCGTCCATTCCATAATCCGCTACACTTCGAATAGAAAAATAAGTCCTATAAAGTAATGCATCATTGGTCAGATAAACATTGAGAGGGCAATAGTCTCAGCAAGATGTTTTTCTGAAGAAAAAAAATTTACACATTTTTAGAACATCTGTTAGCACTGAATTGATATAATAAGGAGCGGTGCTGAACAAAATAAGTCTAGCCTTATTTATTAACATCAAGTGTAAGCAGTTCTTTGAGTCAGGTCAAGTCACTCACTCGGTCATTAGCGACTCAAACGCTGCATTCAGTGCACTCGCGGGGTCAGAGCTGGTTGAACTGTGAGGTTGGCCGGTGGCGGGTTGGATAAGGTAGGAGGCGGGATGAGTAGGGTAGGAGGCGGGATGAGTAGGGTAGGTGGCGGGTTGAGTAGGGCAAGTAGTGGGCTGTGGTTGGCAAGTGACAGTGTGGGGAGAACAAGAGGCAACGAGCCGCTGCAGTTGAGCTATTCGTTGGTCCCGTTCTGCCAGCATAAGGAGCAGGCGTTTGTTCTCCTGTCGTGTAGCCTCCAGCTATGAATAAAGTAGAGCAATATTGATGACTGATAGAATAACAATGCAAACAATATTTGAAAAAAACATTAACAAAGAGAGGCATACATTTTTTTCAAGATTAATTCAACAGAAAATATTGAATCTCTATAGAGTACTAAAGCTAGCTTACTAGCAAGGTATGGATGGTAATAGGTGCGTAGAGAAGCAGTGAAAATTCAATGCACGCTACTGGATGATATGATCAAGTGCCCAGAGCAAATTAATTCCAATATCAAAAGTATTTTTTAACTCAATCATCATTCATGTCACCAAAGTGCACAAATAGCCGCAGAATTATCAATATTATTCGGCAGTGGATAGGGGATAGTTGAACTTTGAATTAAAATTGAGTCTGGGAACTCTGAATGTTTAACATGTATTCTGGATATATGAGTCAAAATTAGTAAAGGCTATAGTTACGTTGTTGTTACCAACTAAAAGCAGCCTCTAATAGTATAAAATAATTTCTTAACGTCTTGATTTGAGGGCCTTGAAATCATGCAGCTCAAAAACACGCACATTACAAACAACGAAAAAGAAAAAACCAGCAAAAGTTACCTCAGAAGTAGAGAAAACTTTAACAAGAACAAAAGCCCCTCATAAGTTGTTACCTTAGAAGTAGAGAAAACTTTAATAACAACAAAAGACCCTCATAAGTTGTTACCTTAGAAGTAGAGAAAACTTTAATAATGTTCAACAAAAGCCCCACATAAGTTGTTACCTCAGAAGTAGAGAAAACTTTAATAATGTTCAACAAAAGCCCCTCATAAGTTGTTACCTTAGAAGTAGAGAAAACTTTAATAATGTTCAACAAAAGCCCCACATAAGTTGTTACCTCTGAAGCAACGTCCAGGGAAGAGGCAGAGTTGCGCTGCATACGCTGCAGCTCTCCCCTGCTGGACGCGTGTTGCACGCTCCTATGTCATCACAGCAAGAAATCAATGGGAAAAAATATGGTAGCTGCGCTAGTCTCAGTGTGAATAAATGCCATCATAAACTATGCAGTTTTCAACTATGAAAACTTCTTCAAAATGAAAACAGATGATCAACTTTTCTTCAAAATGAAAAATAATGCGACAATAGAAGATAAGTGGTGAATGAAATTGTCTGTTGATGAGTGAATTAAAATGTGTGTATCTTTCTAGGTATTTGAAAGATAATGTGGTAGGTAATACAAGAAATACATAGATTCAATTCACATTTGGCTGAAATTATTTATAGGAATGAACATAGCACAAATTATCGAACCAACAACGTTAGTTCATTGTAGTCCTTTATTGGTGGTAATAAATATTAATTTGGTTGCAAATAATACATAATGTGGGAACCGCGGTCTAGCGGAGCAGCCAGTACCTGTGGTGAGGAGGAGGTGCAGTAGCAGCAGGCAGGAGCTGAGGCAGCGCAATACCACTCATTGTGAGGCTGTCATAATCCTCATTGTCCTCATCGTCAGCCTCTAAGTCACTCGCACTAAAAATTAGGGAAACTTAATTACCACATCTACATGCTCAGTTAAGCTAAGCAATACAATGATTTGTTTAAAATAAAATAATTCTTCACAAATACATTACTTAAACGTATTAATGCTAAGAATGAAATTTGAAATCCTTCAAAGAATTAATAATACGTTATCTAATTATAGTTCAGAAAGATTTAGTCCAACATTCAAGTCATTCAGTTAGAAAAAACCTTTGATTTCTGAAATGAAGTAGCAAAAAAAACTAAATAAGCCATTAAGAAATATTTGTAACCTTCTGTTCCTGGATTTGACTCGACCATGCCAGGCAGGGTGCTGGGGAGGGGGAGAGGACCCCACAGTTATCTGACCCCCACTAGGGGGACGCCGTTCTGGCGACACAGATGGACTCCCGCCAGTTGCCTGCTCCCCTGAGCTGCCACCTGTTGACTACAAGAAATTTCCTTCACAACTGCTATGGAACTTGACTCTAACTACTATTAATATATTCCTGTAATTTAACCTATTTACTCGCAAGGTTGTGGTTAGAACTACAATTGGTCAGCTGCTGGAGCTGCTGAATGCAAAAAATCTTGTTGCTCCAATCATTAGGATTATTCACTTAATTCATCAATTGAATTACCCATGACTAAAACTTGATTAGGTCATAAATAGTTCGGCCCAACAAAGATAATAGAAGAAAGTTACAATAAAACATTATTTATAAAACACTTAATTTCGTTTCAGGTAATTTTGCATAAAATCAGCTCAGCATTGGGGCTGGAGCTCACCTCAGTTGAGGGCACATGCACAACACCACAGCTACGCCTCTTCTCACGCAGCTTGCGGCGGTCACGAGGCTGTGCTTTAGTCTTAGCACTCGCTCCAGGTCTGCAATAAATTATGAGCTAAATTCAGTCTGAAGAGTTATTGATCAGACTCTTATCTCAGGTGCATGACAAATGGAAGCAGACAAATTATTGATGTGATGAGTCAGTTCATTCCACGAGTTAAGAATTTATTCTAATGACTGGGTTTTGTCCCAGACTCTTTTTCCTGTTCTAGTAAACCAAGATTCAAGTAACACTTGAATCAGTTACTAATATAATACAACTCCAAAAGAATATAAAATGTTAGCTTTTGATGATTTAGGGAAAAGAAAAACATTTAAAAATCAAATTTTTAAACACCCTGACATTAATCCATTAACCCTAATTGCCTCAGATTTTCAAGTAACGCTACAACCTCCGATGGAATGATTTCTGAACTTTATCATGCTAATTATTTTTTAGCTTCCTTCACTCTCACTAACACTGTGATTGTTTTACCAGGAATTAATATGGATTGTTTCCTATCAAATGCAGTCTTCAAAAGCAAAATTGAGATATCAAAACCATTTAAAAATTTTTTTCAAATGGTATGACAAAATTTTTGGACTCAAGCTGAGCCATTTCTGTATACAACAACTGACCGCTTTACATTAAGGTAATTCTACCCAATGATCAGGTGATTAACATTATTCATGTACACTGTAGCACGTGTGTGCCTGAGAATAAGCCTCCTGCCAAATGTTGATGGATTCTTACTGTCAACACTGATGATAAAACTTCATTGCAGGTATTTTTCTGGAATTTTATTTGTTCCAATAATTTTTTGAACTCATTGTCTCATTTGTCTGCAAGTTCATTGCCTACCATTACAAAAACTACATGAAATGAGACACATGAGTGCAGGGGAAAGCTGGAGTACCTCTCAGCCTCTTAGCTCATAGAACAGTGCTATCGTTTGTCAGGCAAGAGGAGACTTCCCTGCCAAAACGTGGCGGAGCTATCCACTTTGTTCCAAAAGTTTATATGTTGTTTGCCAAATAACCTACTAGGCTACTATATTATCATTATAGATAAAAACAGCTGAAACTTTATTGATCCAACATCAAGAATAGATTTCAGTTGAAGAGTGTTTAAACAGACAAGGCTGTGAAATTTGTAATTATTTTTTTACTGAGGTTATTGGAAATGAAGGACATTTTTCTGCAAACCAAATGCAGTTAGAGTAAATAAATATCAAATTAAAAATTAGGCATTGAACAAAGCATCAATTTTGACAAATATTTAGCTTCTATTAACAGTAAAACATTACATTATCTCTATAATTTAGATATTTTTACTAATTTAAATAATCACTTATTACCCTTTATTACTTACCTTGCCCTTTTTTCTTTGAGCCGATTCAGAGGTTTGGGACTGATGTCTTGCTCTGTGGAACGGCTGCCAGACTGCAAAGCTCCAACTGTCACCCATGGTGCTCCTACCACTGACTCAGCATCAGCATCATCTCCATCATCACCTCCACCACCTGCTAAAGTCATTATCATTAAATCATCATCATGCTTATAATAATTAATCATTAGCAATGATTCAGGCTACATTGATGCGCAATGGCAATGTACAATGTTTCTCAAACTGTCAATGAGTAAATGCTTTAAATTTCAGAAGTTTATCAAAATGGAATTGGACAAGCAAATTTAAGAACATTTAAACAGGATATTGAATTAAACATTTTGAAGTCAAGACATTTATCTCTCCAGGATGATAGACTGTAGAACCTTTATTTTAAGCATGAGACTCAAGTTAACTGGCTTGTAGAAACTAGAAACTGATTTCAAAGTACATAGGAAAATTCATCTAGAAATTGTGAGAAAAAACAAGATTTCTCAGTTTTTTTACAAAATGGCAGGCAAAAATATATAATTTTTTTTTCTTTTTCATTATTAAAAAATGCCATGTGGGTGAGTGAATTGTTGTTTTAGCTTATTCTTTGATCAATGGCTTCCCAGTTCCTGCTTCTGCATACGGTAATTCTACTGTGTACACTTCAAGCATTGGTAAATCAAACTGAAAAATCTGGCATAAACCTGTGAATGAGACAAAAATGGTCCTACTAAAATCACATGTTTGCTTAAATTGTAAGTTAACCAGGAATTTAAAAGCAAAGATAATACCACAAAAATTGACCATATCTTTATAAGACAAAATGTTTTGGAGTCCAGCTCCATCATCAGTTCATAACACAAAATTCAGTTCAGAAGAAGTTCAGTGCAGTCCTAGAAACAAAAATACAATCAATTAGTAAAGTGAAATGCACCGTTAGGTTTTAAAACAGAAAATAAATATATAAGACATGAAATTAATGCTAGTAAACAGCCTATCTATTTACTATTTAAAGAGGAAAGGAGCTTTCTGTATTGGTGCTCCTTTGTGTGGCTGGTCATTAATGTGTTTGTGGATTTGCTAGGAGCAACCTTGAGTCTGTTCAGTGTGAGCCATTGTGATAGAGTGTTGAGATATGTTTGCGCTTGTTGAGTACATATGTCTGCGGATGGGTGAGTGGATGTTATTGTGATACAGAGGTGTTGCACTGCTTGGCATGAAAACATAGAGCAGATAAGCAGAATGAGGTTGATGTGCAAGTAGGTTCCCAGTTCTAGAAGACTATAACTCATGCCCTCATGCTCAGTCAGTCTAGTAGTAATAATATACATTTAAAAATTACTTTTTAGAGACAACATTTCCAAAGAATCCAGTGTCTCCAATCTAACAGATGTAAAATGAATTTCTCATTTAATTTTTTAATATTAAAAAATTAATTTTTCAATATTTTTAAAATAAAATTTTTTTTAATATATAAAATTTTTCTTTTATTATTTCTTCTGTTAATTGATTCATGCATTGCCTCTGACTTCACACAAGTGTGCAAAATTTCAGATCTATTAGACAGGTAGAAGTGTGTCAAATATCTGTTATAAGATTTGTAGCTGAAAAAATTATTTTTTTTAATAATATTGAATTTAATAAATTTATTTAATATTGAAATTTTTTTTTATTTGTAAATCATTTATTTTGACATTTGATTCATGCATTGTCTCCAACTTTACACAAGTGTGCAAAATTTCAGATTGATAGGATAATTAGAAGTGTATTAACCATTTACCGCCAAATCGGACTTTCAAGTTGCGGTTAGTTGCCTTTAAAAAACCATCGGTTTTCTAATCATTTCACGTTTTCTTTCATTTTTTTGAAAAATTCACATGAATATAAAAGTCTTAGATTTATTTTTTACATAAGTGTACCAAGTTTCAAAGTTATCTGTCTGTAAATAACCAAAATAAAATTTCCAATTTCCAATTTCAATTTCCAATTTCTTGTGGAAATTTTATTTCGGTTATTTACGGACGGATCACTTATAAACTTGGTACACATATGAAAAGATAAATCTAAGACTTTTTTTGTTCATGTGAATTTTTCAAAAAAAGTGAAAGAAAATGAAATTTTTAGAAAACCACTAAAAAGAGGGTACTGTAGAAATCTATCTCCTCTATCTAGAAGCTACAACATCGAGACGCATATCATTCGATGCATAAGGACCATATCTATTGATTGGTCCTTGCTGTTTTTCGAAATTCTAAATTTTATGGGAGAGGTCAAGAGGTGGGCAATTTTTGAAAAAAATTTGATTTTTCCCCCCTACCCTTTCAAATCCCCACCCCCTTTTTTAAATATTTTTAAAACTATAACAAAATTGACAAAAAGCTACAACCAATCTCTAGATCTTTTATTTGCAAATTGAATTGTATATTTTTCATTGCTGTAGCTTAAAAACTCTAGGAGATTGCTTTGCAGTGAGCCAGTGACAACTGACAATAAGTGTGAATGTTCAGTAGAGCGTGGCAAAGTCCCGAGCGCCTCAAAATAGGCATTCAAGGTGGCTTGGATTACAAGACTACTGACTATACGTTACTGCAGCTGAAATTCAGTCTATGAAGGTGGGACCATGGGAACGACTGCATGAACACCATCCCACATGACAGCAGTCGGGTAACTAAAGATCAGCATCTTCAGGTCGTCTATTTATGTACCCGGCCGGTAATTTTCACCTATATTAAATGTGAAAGAACTCCCGGCTCCCCCACCTCTAACCCTTTTGGCTTTCACGAACTGTCATTAAGGCATAAATCAACGTAGGGTAAACGCGGTATATTCCGACACATTAAGGACGCATCGAGAAATGAAAAACTATAAAAAAAAACCGTATGCGTTACGTAAGTTTTGTTGCCTTCACATGACTCTCAAAACACTTCACTACGCGTCAGCAACGATGAAACGTCACAAACTGTTGCCATATTTATTAAAAAGCCTTTAGAATGGAAACCTACCAAATCCCTATATTCCGTCACTTTGTGTGGCAATATTTGACACGTGGTGAGTCGTATTGCGTCAGCGCTTCAAATTTAACTGATACGTATTGCCGACATCCACGTGTTCGAATTCCGTTCGCTGTATTGGGATACAACACAGCTTTGAATTAGAACACTAACGAATATTGAACACTACTTAATTACGTTTTAATTAACAGCTATTAGGCTTTTAATTAAGCAAATTTCCATTTTTGTACAAAGCTTGGAACGATCTGTGTGTGTCCAATTCAAGTTGTGTCGGAATTAGTTTTGATGGGTCTAAATCCATCACTCAACTTAATCATCTATTAATTTATTTACGACTTGAAATCAGCAAATACAAGTTTACTTAAAGGATTCCTAATCTATTCACAGACGTATTTAAAAGTCTCAAACCATAATATTATTCCTATAAAAACAGTTATTCACTATTTGGTAGAGCCATGTCAACTGTCAAATTTGACACATTTTTCGATGATCTCACCACGTGGCAAGTGGCATGCATTGTCTCTCTTTGGATCTCAATATTTTCCCACTAGATGGCCAAGACCTAGTGTTTTTGCAGTATTTCAACACGCAATTGTATGACGTCACCATTTCAACCATCAATGAACGCATGGAACTAAAACAAAGCTTAATATAAAGGAAAAGCTGGAGAGGTGACGGAATTACCTACGATGTCGGAATATACCGCGTTTACCCTAGAGATGATTTTGGTACCGTTGGATAGGTCAGAATGTCAGCCTCAAGGTGAGACTAAAAACCAAAAAAGTGGAATTTACAATTTTTGTCCCAAGGGCCAGAAATTTGGGCGGTAAAAGGTTAAATTTTGATTACAAGATTTGTGGCAGTCTGAGTCTGGCAGACAAACAACAAGTTAAATAGAAGTGTTGTAAAAATGGTCCTGCTATGATGCTCATTGCTAAGAGACAGTCAATTTGGCTGTTGCTTAGTTGCAATGGCCATTGAGCATTGACTAATTTCTCTGGTAAGCATTACAAAAAAGTGGCACATTTCTGCCCTCAACCTCTGAAAATAAACAGTGAAACTAAATATATATTGGGTTTAGAATATACTATAATAATAGGGACAATTATATACCACATTAGTGGCTAAACTGACTCTACCTCATAGGCTCATACTCATACCACATACCAGTTCTTGTAGGGTTGAAGTTGCGAGCTCTCGCCATTCGCAGTCTTGACCTACGAGTTGTCATTTCTTGGTCAAGTTCTATGTCATCTTGACTAACAGAGCTAGAAGCCATGTTGAACCGAACTAATTATGCGCTTCCTGATATAGGGTATGAACGAGCCCACGAATGGTTGCATAAACCGATTTACATGGTAGTGATGGTACTTAAGATGGAAGTGAGGGAACAGCCCTCTGTAATATGGTTTAAGGTTTGTTTACTGTATGAATGACCCATGCCGAAAATGTTACTAAGAGAACTTGCCTACAACACTATTTTGGGAGCGCAGCCGTGGGTAACAAAATTGACTCGTAAACAGGCCCTGGGCCCAACGCCAACCATCAGCATGCAATATCTACACATAGACTCAGATCAATGAGCTGTGGGTAACTCCGGCTAACAGTAAATCCGCTTTGCACAACACAGCCACTGCTCCACAGCGCCGGAGCACAACTGGCCGGAGCGCAACAGGCCCTACCGCAACAGGCGGCGCAGGTTGGGTTAGGTTAGGTCAGGAGTAGCTGTTGCGGTAGGGCCTGCTGCGCTCCGGCTAGTTGTGCTCCGGTCTGTATGCGCTCCGGCCTGTGACTGAACTGCGCTGTTGTGGTGGGCGCTTTGTGTAAAAAGCCGTGAAGATGCCCGGCTGCGTTACGCTCGGGAAGGTATATGAATCGCACTGTGGACTTGGGCTATGCTGACCTCTAGCTATCTACCCATTATTTTTATCTCAAATGATACTGAAAGAAACTATCGCGGATACAAATGTTCGTGGTTGAACTAGTATAAGGTTGACCCATGCACATGTCGGTGATTCGAAGCGAGACGAAATGTTGTCGCGTAGATAAGTTGCAGCGCAGTTTTTTTCAGTCTACAGACGTGGCCCCTGGTGTTGGTTCTTGTTTCAAATTATAGTCATCCTACGCGGACTTTGGATAAACCGTGTGTATAATTACGTATATACATCAATCAGGTCCCTACGCTGAAATCGATAACTGAGGCTTGGAAGCTTCATAATCTTTCTTCATAGGTTTTCATATGCCCTTCAAGCCTGTAATTATTCTTGTTGCACGTTTTTGAACATTCTCTATTAAATTTTTGTCCTTTTTAAATCTCGGTGACCACACAACGTTTCCAAACGCTAGATTCGGGCGCACGACAGCAATCGTGTTCACAGACTGATATCGCTTGTGTTCAGATTAAGATCTTAGTAAAATGCTCTGTAAATATTTGTATATGATAAGGTATAATATATGTAAATCTACTATGGTTTGACGTGTTCAAAAGCAGATATCGCTTGTGTTCAGATCAAGATTATAGTAATGTGCTCAGTATCTTTTTGTATTAATGAATATATATCACTTGTTTGCTTAAATCGCAAATTAACTAAGATTTTAAAAGCAAAGAAAAGTCCACAAAAATTCATATCTTTATGGAAAACGTTTCGGAGACCAGCTCCATCGTCAGTTCGTAGAATCACAAATCACTTTGAACTGACGATAGAGCTGGTCTCCGAAACGTTTTCTATATAGATATGAATTTTTGTGGACTTTTCTTTGCTTTTAAAATCTTTTTGTATATTATAAGGTATGGATTATTCAAGTCTCCTATCGCTTGATCGTGTTCACAAGCAGATGTCGCTTGTGTTCAGTTCAAGATTATAGTAATATGCTCGGCAACTTTTTGTACATTCTAAGGTATAATTTATATAAGTCTCTTATCGTTTGATCGTGTTCACAAGCAAATTTCGCTTGTGTTCAGTTTAAACTTATTGATACTGCAACGTATAATACTTCTAGGTTTACTATCGTTAATCGTGTTCAGAAGGAAATATCCCTTGTGTTCAGTTTATGCTTTAGTAATCTGCTCAGTAAATTTGTGTATATTCTAGGATATAATATAAAGATCAGTTTAATCAGGGGTTACCAGTTTAAGATTATGTTAATATGCTCAGTAATTTTTTTAATGTTCTAAGGTATCATATATTTAAGTTTCTTATTGATTGATCGTGTATACAAGCAGGTATCGCTTGTGTTCAGTTCAAGATTAGAGTAATATGCTCAGTAACTTTATGTATATGCTAAGGTATAATATATTCAAGTCTCATATCGTTTGCTCGTGTTCGGAAGCAGATTTTCCTTATGTTCAGGTTATGCTTATAGTAATGTGATCAGTATATTTTTGCAGGAATAGTATATTTTAGTTTCCCATCGTTTGATCGCGTTCAGAAGCAGATATCGCTTGTGTTCAGTTTAAGATATGGTAATATGCTTAGTCACTTTTTCTATATTTTATATAAAGAATCCTATGTTTATTCCTTAGGTACGAGGTTCGCGGGATAGAGTATTGAAAACACGGTTGCGGGGTCTAGTACTTATTTACCGGTGGCTGAAAGAATTAAAAAAAACTATAATGAATACATTTACATAAAGACTTAATTGGCAGGTACTTCCAAGCATTTAGAAATGGACGTAACTTCTTGAACTTAAGCTCAAGAAGATACGTCTAGCGTACGATCCTCGACTTTTGACAACTTCAAAATTTTCGTACGACCGACTTAGTTAAGAGCGTACTATCGAACCACGTTCGATAGAGCGTACTATCGAACCCGAATATCAGTCAATGACAAACTCGCTTACATTCTTTGTTTACGTTATGAGTCACATGATGTGTTCAGTTATTCAGTTATTGGATTTATTAACTTGCGTTTCAATATGCCTAGAAAATTTCAGCTTCTTGTCGACCCAAACTCCAAGATCTTTTTCCATGCAAGACATCTCAATCATTACCCTCTCGTTGCAACCGTGTCTTCTCATGCTGCAAGCTTGCTGTTCATTGTTCTTGCCGAGGTGAAGTACTTTACACTTGTCAGCATTAAACCGCAGCTGCCACGCATCAGCCCAGTCAACTAAACTATCAAGATCATTTTGCAGTTGCATTTTATTTGACGCTTCCTTAACTGTACTATAAACTTTTGTGTCATCGGCATACATGGAGCACACACTTGACACTACTTCTGGTAGATCGTTTATAAAAGCGACGAACAAAACAGGTCCAAGAACGCTTCCTTGCGGTACGCCACTGCACACAGATACCCAGTCTGATACGGTTCCATTAATGCTGACACATTGTCTTCTGCCTACTAGAAATTTCCTGATCAATTGGAGTACATTTCCCTCTATTCAGAAAGAATTCACTTTTCGTAACAGTCGATCAATGATGATCTCAAGATCGATAATAATAATATAAGATTGATGATTGTAATATTTGGGTGTGTAATATTTGCGACGGATCGATTATAAACTGTTCTTTAAGACTTGAATTTTTTTTAATTAGCCAGGTATTGTATTTCTGAGAGACTACGAGTTTGAGAAATGTTCGGGAGGAAATGACCGACATTTAGCAATACCGTGTTTCTCATCATCAACCCAGAATTCGATCATCATGCTTGTCCTTCAAGAATTTGACTCTTGAATGTGAATTTTTTAAGCTTTCATTGTATTTGCTTAGAATTCAGTTCACTAAAGTTTATTCCTCACATTTGATATTATTTGATATGTATTTAACTATTAATTTCAGTCCTCCCCAAAATTTTGGATGCATTTTTGTCTTTATTTCTAATACTATCAATTTCGGTTCATTAATTAATATTATTGTTTTCAGTTTCTTGCCCTATTTTTACGTCAAATGACGTTCTCTCAACAGACTTGAGTCACCCGGTCTCGGATCAGCATAAAACAAGAGCCGCTACCGACACTCTCGTCTTCCCGAGCCTCCAAATGCCTTCATTTAACATCGATTATGACTCAGATTATGTGTTCAGTTATTCAAACATTTTGGCTCTTCTTAAAGAATTTTAGACGCTTTTAATCTAAATTTTTAATGAAAAATGCCGATTCAGGATAGCAAAACTAGTATTTGATGATTAATATGGCATCGTATATATATTTCCTCCAGTTACCCCCCGCAATCCATTTTCTAGGAACGTCGCTAGCCTTGTGAATTCTAGCAGAGTTACCCACCAACTCTAACTCAACGTTATTATCCATGTTATTGCCTTAAGCATCATTATCAATTAGCAACTGCAGTTGATATTCCATTAAATGCGATTTAGCTACATATTCATATTATTAGCACCGACCTAGGATATTACAACGTCAAGTAACTCCAGTTGTCATAATCATTTGCATATCTGTAATACTGTTCTTAATCTGGCCTCCGGACCTTGACCCAGTTTATTAGGTGAATTCTTTCTCTGTGTAATTCCTATATACGAAAAATATTATATGACTGGCGTAGTCAGACTTACACGCCTTAGCCGAACAACAAGGCGTTTATGGTACAACCAAACGTTTGGCACGAGTCACAGACCTCAAGGGACTTAATCCCGCGCTGCTAGCATTCCCACGTTTTACAACATAATGAACAACCAGATAGAATTTTTGTGAATTCATTTTTTAGCTCAATCCCGCCAGATTAATTTTCTGGTGACATATATAAGAAAAAATTCATTAAATGCATGACTAATAAAGTTTCCTAAACATCCAAATAAGGATATTTTTCTAAATAAAAATTAAAGGATTTACCATAAAATGGTACTACATTCTAGACACTCGTTTGAAACACTTGTCCAGACACAATTAGCGACTATACACTAGAAACTGAATGATTACCAATCGCTTCACTCACTCAAAAGTTGATCGTAACTCCACTTACACGACTTTTCAATCTGCGCAAAGTTACGTTCATTTTATTGCACGTAACGTATCGCAAAATGTTTTGAATGTGCCATCATTTGGAGTTACGAGCACTAAGCGGACTTACGCTGCACTTAAGGTTTGTATTCAAAGCCGCCCGAACTCCACAGCGAGCTTGCTCGAGTTTGCTGCCGAGACGCGTGAGGGCTGGTTATCTTATGTCTGGCCGACGCGATGCCGTATAGGAATGCGTGCTAGCTCAGGCCGTGTCGGGCTGGACCACAGTACATGCTCACAACAGTTTTTTAACAAATTTTAATTTTTACTGGTAATCAAGATCTATCAAACTACAGAGACAGTAATTCAGACTATACAGAGACCAAAAGTTTACTTATAATGACAGTGATACTGGCTGTCACTTGCACAGCAACAGCGAAGTATCCGTCTTCATGGGGATGGAGACAGAAGGGAAAGCTGTGAAACCGCAGTAGGTTTATAAATGCATTATATTCAATACCGAAATAGTGTCTATGATATTTAATTTAAATAGTATAAATTTCTACACGAAAGACAAATTATCGCTAGATTATTAATTATTTTTTCGTGATCATGTCAATACTAT